AGATGAAAAATGGAACCTGTTATGATAATGTACACAGAAGATTAGATGAAAAAATGGAACCTATTAAAATAATGTATACAAAAGTTTAGATAGAAAAAATGGAACCCGTTAAGATAATGTATACAGAAGATTAGATGAAAAAATGGAACCCGTTAAGATAATGTACACAGAAGTTTAATCTTCTGATCTATTTTACTATTAGTTGGTGCACATATTCCTTTGCCACTGTTGGTAGTATCTGATGACAGATGTATTTAAAAGTGTTCAAAGAAACTTGTTTTTTTATAACAGTACTCCTGTAATTGGGAATCTACTATCATGCCCCTTTTAAAGTCTGAGAAATTCTTCCTCATACTCTTTATTGCAGACTAGCAATGTTAGGACTATATCTCTGTATTTAAAAAGCTCAAGCAATCACCTATAACATCATGCAAGTCCGTGTTTTACATAAGCAAATAAATGGAGTGTTCTACTAATGTGTGGGTGAGGGATCTTAGTACAGTGACTATTCAGTGTCTAAAAAATATTTAAATTTAGATCAAATAAAATAATTAACAAACAGTTTGTATATGATGACAAAATTTGTTCTGTTTAAATCATGTTTCATGTCATGTGATAAGTATTACCCTTTTTGAAACAAGAACATTAAGTTGACATTAGCTGTACCATTCCACTATTTGTAAGATCTGCAGCTAATATACATCAGAATTTATCACTGTATCTTAACAGATAAACAGAAAGCATGAACATAATGTTTGAAGTTTTTTTGATATATGTAACTAACAAACTTTCAACATTACAAAATTCTAAAACCAGAGTTAAATGTTATTTCACAGCATCTCACTACTAGAAGCCACAGAGAGGTATTACTTAACATAGAAAATGATCAGACTTTGAAAGAGGCTCTTGCTGATTTACCATCAGTTGACCAGTTTCTGGATGAAGATTTTCAACTAAAAACGTTGGCTAACTCATCTTGTTTATCTGATGAGTCTTCCTATGACTTGAGGTATGAATAACTTCAATTTTGGCAAATTTTCGGTAACATTACTGTAACAGACTTCAAACTTCCTTTAAGTAAATATAGGAAATATCTTGATATTACTAACTTCTACTCTTCTCATTAAAAAACAAACAAACCTATATCTTAAAAAAGCCTGTTTTCATTTGCTTAACAGGTTCCAGTTTTAATCTGAACTTCTGTATACATTATTTTAACGGGTTCCATTTTTTCATCTGAAATAGATTTGTAAAGAGTAATACTTACGTGTGTTCCAAACAAACTAATTCTCTCAATATTTGCCAGGATTTGATTATTTTAATCGTACTGTGTTATGGAAACTAGACAAATAATTGGTTACCTCAGACTACAAACTGTCAACAACGAATGAATAGAAAGGTGTAATGTGGTTCGATAAGCCACATTTAATTTTCTTCTGTACTGTTAGTGTGAAGAAAAACACTTAAATCTACCTGTGTTTTTCTAGCATTATAAGCTGTTGATGTTGATGTGGTATGTGACAATTCATGGCATACAAGAGGAAATGACATCCAAAGTGTTCCATTTTAATCTTGATGGACAAAGGCTCTATCAAGACATTAGTGTAGCAATGTAACAAACTCAAATTGCCAGAAAATAACACAATATTCTGTGTAGGAGTTAAGAGAGCAAAAAACCCACAGTAAAATGGAACAAACTGTCAGAAGGCTTGATATTGGAGAAGCTAGTTTCCTAAATATCAAAACTTCTGACAGTTTTTTGCATATACTCCTATTGCCTCAAACTGTTTTCAATAGATTGATGGGAAGTTCACATATTTCTGTAAACGCAACCACTGGATCTCAATCCAATATAGAGCATACTTTAAATGAACTTGGCCATTTTTACTGCTATAATCTACTGACTTTAATGAAATAACTGAAATTGAATGAGACATCCTCCAGCATTTTGTGGTGCTTATGCTATGCTAAGCTTAAGCTGTTATCATGATAAAAGTTGGATAACTCAATATTAGATTAGGGAATATTGTGGTCCAGGAATGTGCCAAGATAATACACTACTTGAAACACAATTACGTACATCATGATCATTACAATATCTCCAACTTGTCGATAAAAATTTGAAACTGGGAATACATACCTTTTGTTTGTTAGCATAACGACAACCACAAAGCTCACAATATCCACTGGTACAAGGTCTATTTCTCTGCTTAGTGGTTTTCAGGTTCAACTTACTACAAGTAATTTTCACTACATTTCTTTGACGTCTTTCAAATCACCAGACATTTTTAATCATTTTGTTTTATGTATTCCCTTTAAAGAGCCAGTTAACACTTCAAGTTTATTTTTTTATTATACATGAAACTTACTGAGTTATTGTTTAATGTCACACGTTTCTAAAGATACACATTTTTATAGCTTATTTATTCTGTCAACCCTTTTAGTTTTTTTGAAATCAGAGCCCATTGAAAAGGTACTTACACAAGCTCAGTTAGTTTTATACTACAGGAAACTAGTTTTACTATACAGATATCAGAAAACATGCTTTGAAGTAGCTGATCATGCCCATTGTAAAGGTACTTAGACAAGCTCAGTTAGTTTTATACTACAGGAAACTAGTTTTACTATACAGATATCAGAAAACATGCTTTGAAGTAGCTGATCATG